GTGCGGCCCTGTAAAAGTTTGAACGGGTGAAATTATTATCACGAGAACCACGGAAGCTAGAAGGCTGAAATTTTGTGGGCATGTCCCTTGCCCACGTGTAAGACTGCACCAGGTCAGCACAGCAATCGAAAGGCACAAAAATTCGGCAGAGAGCCGAATATTGGTACCGCATGAGATTTCCCCGAGTGTTAGGGGCAAATCCCTTACGTTCGTTGGGGTACTCTATCTCCCCCCTCCCCTTGCTTTCCATACATGCACGCTGGCAAAACCATCAAATTTTAGTAATAACTACCGTGGCGATGCGCGCACCATGACCATTCACGGCCCGGCCCCGCTCTCGAAATTTGCAAGTGATCCCCATCCTCCTGTTAATTTCTAAAGTGTTGTTTTCAAAAATTTGGTTAAACAAGTTACTCACGATAAAATCCACAGGCTTGCTGGCGTGATAAAGCGTTTTTGCACGATTTTGTGTTGTAACAAGGACGTTTGTATTCGCACACATCGTCATATCCTCAGAAAATTTCAGCCTCCTAGCTCAACTGGCTCTCAAGATCGCTTTTCATGCCTGTACACGTAATGCAAGTTATGCAGGTGCTCATTTTACGTCTACGGACTTGCACGTAGACAGCAAATATTCTTGCAAAATCAGAGGGATCTGCCCAGTCTGATTCCCGCGCTGGCATCTCGCCAACTGTACAAAATCGAACTGCATATTGCATTTGTACTTTCAATCTGAATTTGAAATCTTTAGCTCATACAAGAACACAAAATATGCTTGTGAAGTTTCAGCTTCTTATCTTGCTTGGTTCCTGAATCCTTCTCCCGCCAAAAAATTCACGTGGATTTTTTCGGACATCCGTACTTGAGACCCAGAAGTAAATGAACGACGATTTTAAAAACGAAGCACCGCATTTGACTAACTTTTCATATGCGGCACAAGGTTTCTGTGGCGGCTTCTTCTTTGGACTTTTTGCGAACTTTCCATGATAAATGAACACATTTAAGGAGCAAGCAGTACGTACAAGTACCATTTTGCAGTTCGTCATCACTCTTTTGTGAACAAAGAAGCACAGAACTTTATTAGAGACCAAAAGCGAATTGAGTATCAAATAGAGCAGTGTTCACTATGCGCATGGCAATACCAAACAGCTCACAGTTGTATCGGAAGCGTAAAAGAAACAGGTGCAAGCACCCACCTCCCGTGTTTTTCCCTGATAGCACACATCTATAAAGTACATGCCCAGCCCTTTCTTAGTAGCATACATTATCAGGAAGGTCAATGTGAAAACATAGATTCGACCACAGCGGTTAACAGTTTCAACTGTGAGGTGTTGAGTTGCTTTATCATGCGGTAAGCCAAGACAAAGGTGCTAAATTCAGGCACTAAACTGAGCATAAACTAAAGAAAAGTAAAAAAGAAATTTTTTTTTAAATCGCCAGATTCTGCTAAAATTAAGTAAAAGCAGATTTTATTGAATCCACGGCTAATTTGAAGTTTGGCTAGAGGTCATTTATGGATAAACAACGCCTTACTGTAGCAATTTTGGGCATTTTCTTCCATCTAATCTGGAGTAGTTGGTTCAAGATATTTTAGGACTCTTATATTTCACTTCCAGGTAGTGCCTGACTGGTTGAGCATAAAAGTGTCA